TAACTCACAGATCAAACCCTGAAACAACCTCTGGGCTGATCTAAGCAAGGTCACAGCTAACTCTCAGATCGAACCCTTAAACAACCTCTGGGCTGATCTAAGTCAGGGCATGGCTAAGTCACAGATCAAACCTTGAGACAACCTCTCAGCTGATCTAAGTCAGGGCATGGCTAACTCACTGATAGAACCCTGAAACGACCTCTGGGCTGATCTAAGTCAGGGCATGGCTAACTCACAGATTGAACCCTGAAACGATCTCTGTGCTGATCTAAGTCAGGTCACAGCTAACTCACAGATTGAGTTGAAATCTAGCATGTTAGGATATGTGAAGTGAGGAAAACTGTAGAACCAAGATAAAAAACTCTCCAATCAAGGAAGAGACCTARCAAACTATACTCACAAGTGATGCTGATATCAGTGAAATTGATAATTCTAATTAAAAGTCAATGAGGATTGAAAATTCTATGGTATTTACTGAGCCTGACTGTAGTTACCTGTAAATCACACCTAGCACCAGATTTCAGGAGTAGCTTGACAATATCTACATGTCCTTGATGACAACTGACATGAAGGGCTGTCTTACCACTCTTATTACTATCAATCTACGAATACAGAGAATTATAAATATCTATGAATCACAATATTCAAAATTATGTGCTTTTGCTATGACATTGTAAAGACCATAGTTAATAGAGGGGAATGGTTAGGAAACTCTATTGTTATGGGTTATTGTTCACTTTTTTCAAGCGTGACTGTACACAATCCTTTGTTTTACCATTGTTGGCAATGGCTGAGTGAACGGACCAAAAATAATCTTTCTTTTGGCAGCTAGTTCAAATACTTAAAGATTTATAAGAGATATTTGAATATTCCTTACAACAATCCCATAGACAAAGTTTATGTTTACTTATTTTTCAATTTCAGATGAGCATAAATCAAACATATTGCAGTTCAACCTCTCAAGCGAACAAAGACCTAATAACAATAGGTTTCCTAACCATTTTCCTCTATTAACTATGTAATGGCAGAGACACCAACATAGCATTAGCCATTTCRAAGTCAAGAAAAACACTGGGTAAAGGTAGCATTGCACTGCATTGTAGGGTCATTTTAGGGGACGAAATAGCCACCATCTTGGAAATRTGTTCCCTAAACATTACCACAATGCACTGCAATGCCAACTTGATCCAGTTTTTCCCTCAACCTTGGAATAGCTACCCTCTAAGCACAGGAAAGAACCAACAAGCAACTCTACTCACATTTGATAGAGAGTCCAGGGATCTAACCAATAATAATAATAATGATAATAACTATAATAATAATAATAATAATGATAATGATAATGATAATGATAATAATACCAATGAACAGCGATGATAGGCAGCACCCACTTTTTTCGACGTTATACAAACTTTCAATGTCAAACTAACTACTAGTACCTACCTCCCTTGGATTAGCAGCCAGTATGTCCCTTACTCTGGTGTACTGGCCAAGCCCTGCKGCACTTATTAACTTAGATGAGGTGTCAATAGGAGACACAGTCATACTCTGGAGCAGTGACGGCAGAGAAGCTTCTGCTGTACAAAGATTAAAATAATCTATTAATTGTGAATACTTGTTATTAATTATATATTACATTATTTATTTGGAAGGCTATTATATGATGAATGGGAAAGATGAATAGGATTAATAGATGGTTGGATGTTAGGATGGTTAGAATAATGGGTAGATGGGTGGATGGATTGATAGATAGAGTGATGGATGGAAGGGTGGATGAATGGATGGGTAGATGGATGGATGGAAGAAAAGATGGAGGTATGGATAGATAGACTGATAGATGGATGGGATAGGATAGATGGATGAATGAATGCATCGAATGATAGATGGATGGATGGAAGAAAGGATGGATGTTAGATGGAGTGATAAATGGGATGGATAGACGGATGGGATCCAATTAATGAATCTGAGTGGAACCCCCTATCATCCTTCCGTTGCAACTATCATAGTAACAAACTATTCTCAAACCTTCGGCAGTTGTGGATGAGGCGGCAGTCGCAACAGCCTGCGTTTGTTGTTCAGCTTCTCTTACTGCCATGGCATCTCTTTTCTTCACAAGGACGGCAGGGTTCAAAGTCCAGGATGTGCTACCAACTACAACCCTGATGTCACCATCATAATACACCTTCAAAACCTTTCCTTCTTTCCCAAGAATCTGACAAAAAAACAACAACAAAAACTAAGAAATTTTATTTCTAACAATARACCCCTTCACAGTTCCCTSCACCATCTTGAAAGGTAGCCGTGCCTTTGCATTGAAGTGAGAAGAATGGTGAGCTYGCAATGGTAGAGACATGTGAATAATTGTYSAAGGTGTTAAAAAAAGTCTCTATCATTGCAAGCTCACTGTTCGTCTCGCTTCGATGCAAAGGCACAGCTACCTTTCAAGATGGTGCAGGGAACTGTGAAGGGGACTATTTTCACTAGTCAATAGAGGCTTTGCACCATCACGTGATAGCAGCCATGACAGGAAGCATGTCTTTTTTCCCTGGGAAACTGAATTCTTTCTTGTGTAAATCAGATTATAGACCAAATTGACCCAGACTGAGTAGTTCCTGCCTCCATATTATGATTGCCATTACTTGATGGCGCAAATCCTATATRAAAAGTACTGCAAGGGGGCTAGGGGATGGGGAGGATGGGGCAGACGAGGGCAAAAATGGCCAGCAAATGGTCTGAGCTTCTCCAAAGTTGTGCAATAAAAAAAATATAGATTAATATGCTTAGAAACAAACTTACAGGCACCATTTTGTCAGTCCATTCACCATGTCCTACTTGCAACTTTTTCACTAAGGTAACATCATCTAGGACACAAACTGTGTCGTTCACCTGAATATCACCCATCTGTGCCAATACCAAAAGAATCAACAAATCATTCAATCAATCAATACATTAGTCAGTCATCATCAGGCCTGTTTCCTGTTGCATGAGAAAAATAACTGGGGTCAGTAGRGTTTTTTTCATTGATACAACAGCTTACTGGAAACCCTGTGGTGCATTTGGGAACAAAAAAGATATTAGGATCGGCAAAAATCAGCAAGAAAATTAGGTTTGGTCGTGCAGGAAACACTTATTTTTTTGTTTGGCCTCATCATCATCATCATCATCATCATCATCATCATCATCATCATGACCACCACCACCATCATCATCATCATCATCATGACCACCACCATCATCATCATCACTATCATCACCACACCATCATCACCACCACCATCATCATCATCATCACCATCATCATCATCATTAGATATACATACCTTCGAAAGCGCAATAGGATTGAATGCCCATGTATAGGTATTAGAAGGCCCAACTTTATACTGTACTTTTACTCCTCCATTGTCGAGTACCTTCTGTATTGTACCAGGTATCCCTATCACCTGTTGACCAAACGACACAACATGTCTCTCAATTATACCATGTACATGCTGTAAGATAGCACTGTAGGTTTCCAACTCATATAATAACCATTCTAATGGTTARACGTTTCAATGTTACGGCATGYCATAATGTGCATGTCCTGTAAGTCAGTACTGTGCATTTCCAAATCATACRATACCCATTCTTATGGGAAGCCATTTCAATGTTACAGCATGTTGTAGCATGTACGTTTCCCACTTGTAAGATAACCATTCTTATGGGAAGCCATTTCAATGTTACAGCATGTCGTGCAATGTACTGTATGTTTTCCACTCGTAAGATAACCATTCTCCTGGGAAGCCATTTCAATGCCTCCCACTCATACAATAACCGATAATATAGCATATTTATTTATATACATATACACCCAGTCTAGTTACCTCTTTCATTCTTTCATTCCATCCTCCATAATCTTYCTGCAACAGCTTTAAAACCTCAGCTTCAAGTACTATTTGGACTTGTTCACCAACCTTGAACTGACACTTGCCTGAATCATGTAATGGAGTGAATTTTTTTGGCRTTGCAGCTGATGAATAGTTGAAGCCAAGCTTTGGTAGATGATCCTTGTAGTAAACACCCCCAAATGATGGTGTTACACAAATAACATCAACCTGTTTTATCAAAAACAAATGATTTACTTTTCATTGCTCAAGATATACTTACATTTTCAATTATTACACATTTTGGAAAGAGATACACCTACTTGCAAGAACGTTATCATACGAAAATAGATCATTAGTGATTTAGTGGGATAGGAATTATATTAAAAAACAAAAGAAGATCACTGAAGCTGAAATTTTTCTTTTGGCTTTTAATGTATTTCTTTCTCACTAAATTACTAATGTTCTAATATTGTATGACAACGTTTTTGCAAGTAGGTGTACATATAGCTTTATAATAAACATTTCTAAAAGTATTCGTACCTTCCCACTCAGAAACTTTTTCATCCCAACGAAATTTCAGGATATTTCCTTTCAAACATCATCATTGTTATATGGGAATCAAGGATGGTTTAGTGGTAGTGCACTCACCTCTCACCTCTGGGGTCTCAGGTTTGATTCCTAGACTCAACATCACATACATTAGTGAACTAAGGGTGATGTAGTGGTGGTGCACTCTCCTCTCTCCTCTGGGGTCTCAGATTCGATTCCTGGACTCCACAGTACATGTGAGTAGAGTTTGTTAGGTCTGTCCCTTGATTCAAAATAAAGCTGTATTGAAGTGTATCCTAACCTTTCCTTTGTGTCCACGACGATATACATTGGTTTCCCCATTGATCCATTTAACTGCAACAACACTACGGAATGTTTCATTTTCCCATCTCCTCACATCYGTTACCACACCTCTTTTTGAAGGACCTCCGTCTTGATTTCCCCAGTCCCAATCTGGACCGCGTCTAACTTGAGATCCTAAGTAYGTTCCTTGAGCTGAAACCTTTTGTTGGCCTTGCCTTTTATCTACAAGAACTCTGGAAAAAAATATATATATATATATATTTAGCTTTCCTCTTCCAAATCTATAGCCAGGGTCTGGAAGTGTATTCGCAGGAGCTTGGAAATGGATAAAATATAGCGTGGGATCTGGGAAACTAGAAAACAAATTACATGATTTGGGATATTGTCATCGCCCATGACTTARGGATTGCCGGATTCCATATACTGGATGTGGGATTTTGTTTCCTGCTTTTTTTGTTTTTTTGTTTTTTCTGATTTTTCCCTGATTTTTGATTTTTGGGGGATGCAAGATTTTGGAAAAAAATAGYGCATGCTTTGGGATCTGGACCCCCTTTCCAGACCCTGCAAAGCCCCTCCTAACATGAACACAGCCTCTCTCTTTCCAAAGTTCGTATTACTACCCATTATATCTGTACTTACGGAGTGCTTGAAGGTGAATCTTTTCTGTAGAAGGCATGGTCCAGTGAATGTTTATCATTGGTATAACATGTCGTACAAAGAGTATATCCCTGACAGCTTGCACAGACCCATAACATGCCTTCTACTCCTTGTTGCCTGCACTCACTACATGACACATTCTTGTGTACAACCCCTTAAAGGTAAAAAAGGTAAAGTACCTATATTTAATGTTGGTAGTTCCTTCAGTTGAAATTCAACTGCTATCGATGGAAGTGATGGTGCGTACTTTACCCAGTATAATAAAATAATGACAATGAGAATAATGTGACAGCTAGGTTAACAAGGAATACAAATGTTGTATGCATTCTTTCTCATGAGTATAAAACAACAAACATGGTCACCATGTTGGTTACATGAAGAAAGTCCTTTGTTCAAGATAACCAACATGGTGACTATGACTTCACATGGACACAAGGACAAAATACATCACAACCACATTGGTGAGCACATGTCACATTCACAAGGACAAAAGACATGCAATGGCTGCCATGTTGGCTAACATAACAAAGGAACCAAGACCACATCTTTGGTTCAAGTCAACGAGCATGGTGACTATGACTTCACATGGACACAAGAACAAAATACATCGCAACMACACTGGTGAGAATATGCCGGATTCACAAGGACAAAAGATATGMAATGGCTGCCATGTTGGCTGACATAACAAATGAAACCAAGACCAAGACCAAATCATGGCGGCAATGACATCACATGTATTGCTGCCTCCTCACTAACGTAATTTGGCATCCCAAAATTATAAGCTTAAATGCGTTTGTTTGGARTTTTGTTTATATTAGATAAGTAAAAAAGCGAAAAATACCAAGTTTTGAAATAACCACAGCGACAACAAAACGATGAATAATAGCTTCAACATGTAAGCCAGGCCAGCCAAGTTTAAGCTTGTGTTTACTTCAAGCTTGAGTAGATTTTTTTACTAACCTATCGGTCCGTTATCAAGTATACATAAATCATAGGCATCCTCATGTCCACATCTATAATTAGTCCTCGTCCCTCCATCCCACTGCACTATGACAGTCTTTTCTGGTGAAGAAAAGCTCCCAGATCTTCCAACTACAATCACAGTCCCTACGAAGCCTTCGCCGCCATCTTGGTTCCCCCACTTCCAATCTTGTCCTCGTACGACACGTAGTCCTACTTCCATGGGCTAAAAATAACTGATTATAGCTTTGATATCTTGTAAGGAAACGATAGGATTCAATGTGAGATCTTTGGAATTAATTCTGAGATRTAAATAATAGACGTATTGCTTTCGTTATCGATACTTGAATACTTCCGACTTCCGTAGACCAACTGTAGTGGGATCCCTGTGGTTTGAATGGTTTCAGGTTTCGGAAATGGTGGGGTAGGGTGGGGAGGAAKTAAGTGTGTAGTCTTTCTTTGCATAAAAAACTCTACCCTTTCAAATGTTATTTTCTTTAAAAGTTTGTCGTGTGATCTTTTTTTTTTCTTTTTTAAAACCAGGACCATACTTCCAGACATCGAGTGCTGAACCGTCGTATGGACTTACGTCGTATGGACTTACGGCTACGCTGGCGATTTCGACACCAACACCGCTATCCCGGGAGGAATTACAGACTGATTAGGAAGCTCGGCCGAAGCCTAAGGGAGAGGTTAGTCGGCCCCTAGACCATAGATGATTAACCCTTGCTATGRCCAGTATWCCTAAAATTTCTTTTGCGTCACTGATGACTAAGCCCACTCGGTCACTCCTTTCCGTGTGGGATGCATAATTGAAAGACTTTGATTGAGTCCGTCTATTGACATTAGATAAACTTGAGTTAAAATCAAAATCGAGGTTCTACATTTTCTTACCTTGAAGATATCGATTAGAAAATATAAAGGAAGGGAAAAACTGAAATAAGCGAGAATAATGGATAGGGAAATGCGCGCCAATTCAAGCTTGCGCACAAGGATTTTTTTCATTTCAGAAAACAGTGATATCAAAATCCAAACCAAAAATCTACTGCATGCCTCAAAATGTAATGTAAGTTTTGTGGATGGAGAAAAAACCGTAGAAAAACCTTTAAATCAACAAACTAGTACTCTACCGACTTACATGTGATGCCGAGTAAGAAACTGGTGGGGGGRAAAATCTTAAAACGGGCTAAATTTAAAAAATAACCACGCAGAGCCAAAGACGTGCTATTTCGCAATGATCACAGAACCACAGAAACCAAGCTTGGGCTACCTGTGKTGTGACATCACGTGAAAGCGCGCTCTATATTTACCGTATGCCTAGACATGCAAACTAAAGATACCAGAAATAAAGTCGAGTCAGAAAACAAATCTTTTGGGTTACATTCACTTGAGAAATTCTTCTTTATTGATGATTGATTAACRGTTTTTGTGATTTATTATATTTAGGTCAATGAGGAATCTTAGAGATTTTCTTGTGTTTTATACCGAGTGCAATCTAATTGAGCTTGACGGTAGAAAAATTCTTTACACCCCCTAACTATGGGTTAGGTTAGAATATGGTTAGGCACTTTAATAATAAAGCTGTAAATAAAACTTGACTAACGACTCTGAATGGCAGCTAAGACCTGAGTGAAACATGTTACGCTCGACATTGTGAGATCAAATCGCGTATAGTACTTTCTATAATAATTCCTTAATTCGTGAGTTMATTCGTGTTACAGTCAACTCTCGTTACAGCGGACACCCTCGGGACCGTCACTTCRTGTCCGTAATAGCGAGCGTCCGCAATAGCGAAAATTTATTACGATCATTTCTTTGTCAATATTTTTGTCGGGGATTTTCCTCCTGTCCGTAATAGCAAGGTGTACGTAATATCGGGGTGTTCGCAAGGCGAGAGTTGACTGTATTCGTGCACAAACATCTTTTTTTTCATTATGCTTTATATTGTGTTACAACTTAGAAAAGGTTAATGTAGGTGTTATGGTTTTCTGGGTCAGTTTTGCATGTGCATTTAGTAATAAAAAGACTCTGGTCTTTGCCTTATTCGTTGGCTCTGCCTTGCCTGTTCGTTCCACGCTTCTGCAAACGTACTACAAGCCTGCATTTTCTTTCTGTGCAAGTATTTTCTCTTTATGATGACAGTCGCACRATTTTCTTCAAAGTTTCTCATTTTTCTATTTGCTTCCAAGAATGTGATATTTTCAAAGTTTTCTCCACCGAATGAGACAATTTCGTCCCCCTTTTTCAGCAAGCTTCCTCCCGCTGTTGTGGAATTTTCAATGTCTAGAATATGTATGGGCAAATCCCCGTACGGAGAACAGACTCCTCCGGCAATAGTGAATCCCCACCCTCCGGTATTTTGCTTCCTGTAGACTTTAGTTCGTAGAGTTTGTTTGTCGATGTATTTTCCAGTGCTGTTTGAACGTTGAAGTCGACGAGAWGACTGTTTGGCTTGCTCAGAAGTCTTTCCAGAAGGGACGTTATTTGTATACATGGACGAGGGCCTGATACATCCAGAGGAGCTTCTTCTTACGGGTCTGTCKGGTGGAGGTACAAAAGTGTCCCAATTAAGTGAGGCCCTCTGACGTCTCGTTGATGTCGGCCATGTTGCTCTCTCTTCTTCGTCTTCGATACAACTCACTCGCCTTAGAGCCAGGCTCCCTCTTGCTCTGAGAGAACCGCGGCGCAAAAACATTTTGGGCTCACTGGGCACTTTTTCCTCGTCTTCGTCAGAGTCCACTTCAATGATGGACTCAGTAAGGACCCTTGATTTTCTGAGAGACCCATGACGTAGGGGCGTAGATTGATAACAAGGGACATATTCCTCATGTCTGTCCAACGCCTCTTCTGTAAAGGGCTCCGGGAGGCTTTCCGACAAGGTGCTCATTGAAAACGTCGACATGACATCAGACAAATCGTCATTTTGAATTGTGGAATCTTGTGAAGGAGTAGACATTGTCATCTGTGAATAAATTAGTAAAAAATATTTCATTGAATAGCCCTTTATTTCGCGAAACATTGACTCCAATACTACCCAAGAGGTAAGATACGAGTGCACTAATGCTAACAACACCACCTTAAGTTTACTTCCCATATGTATACTATAGTTTGAATACGGGAAAAGTAAAATGGTTTGAGGTCTTACCTGTCTCGCACACCATTCGGACGTATTGCTCAACATGCTCAATCGATCATCATAATCATTCGCTTCCTCATCAACAACTCCATCTTTAACACTCTCTCCGCCCTTGCAACTTTTGACGTCATCGTCTCCATTAGCAACGCCAACAAACGACGTGCATTTTGATTCTCGCCTGACCAGTTTAGCAGGTTTGACCAGAGGACTGGGAATATTTCTTGAGACTACGTCGATGACGGTGCTTACAGACTTTTTAATGACGCAAGAATCATTTGCCATTTGAAGGACACTTCTTTTCCTTGATCTTGCCTTGGGGGAAGTTATGTYAGGRTCTCCACTATCAGTTTCCGGTTCCTCAGAGGCGAACGAAGACAAAATTCCTTTATTTCCGTCTTTTGATCTTTCAATCAAGAACTTGATCACCGGTGGAAGAGTTCGTATAACTACCAGCGCTGAGCTGTGAGTGCGACCTCTTAGCGTATGACCATTCACCTCGATTAGTTCGTCACCAATGCGCACGCTGCCAGACTTGTCCRCTATGGAGTCTGGTAAGATTTCTTTAACGTAATGTTTCTGAAGTGGAGTATCAGCACCACCGACTAAGACTAGACCAAGGTAGCCATAATGTGGTTTGACAAGCTGGAGAAAAAATTATAAAAAAGCATTAAAACACTTGATCATCAGACCACGARCTATGCCACCAAGATGTGGTAATTTTTTGACCCTTGAGGTAGTGTGGGGCACTTTTGGTTAAATAAAGAGMTTCTTTTGCATCTGAAAACGTTTTTATAGTGAGACTAGTTCTTCGCGACGAAAGTTTCAGCTGCAAGTGTAGAAAGTAGTGCTATTCATGTTTTCATGCGAAGTTCTCGCAACGTTTACGCAATTCGTGCTGAATTTTAAGATTCACAGCCTTCTTTGTTAGCTAAGTTTCCTGCTTTGTTTAAATTTCCAATAAAAATCGTTTTCTTTGCATAAAACATTTTCTATTGCAGCTCTTACCCACAATTTCATTGCTAAAAACGTCACCTTCTAGAAATTAAGGATATTATTAGCATTTTATATTTTTTGATAACATATTTTTCGGTGATGATAAAATGCCGGATACACAAAATCGTTTCTTTTTTTCTTTTTTTCGATTTAATTTTTTCTTATTTGCTTATTTTCCAAAAGTGTTCCTTTCCTTCAATTAGCAAGCTTCCTATGTTTACAAAAACATCTTCGTTTTTCTTTCGTTTGCTAGGATTACCGGAATAAACAAAGCTCTTAGTTTGTCTATGTTTTAGCCCGTTAATTACCAAGGAAGGTTATCCAGAAAATAAACTAGAAAAATGAAAACTAAAATAATAAACAAACCATGAACACGAAGTAGGGGTAATAAGATGGATGCGCGCAAGTTTTTTGGCGGGAAGATCCAACCAAAGTTTTTCAACCTCAATAACAGTTAACACAATTTCCCCCCCGGTGTTTTTGAAAAGAAAAGCAAATGAATTGAAAAGAAATATTGATAATAATATCAAAGCAGGTGTTATTTTCTAGGCTATTTTGAAAATATTTTCGTTTGTATTTTWTACGACAACTAAAAATTGCAACAAATAGTGCAACGTTCACTCTAAGGCTGAGTTAGCAATATATACAATAAGATAAGTCCATTAAAATGTTGGGTATTTAGACGAGAATTTCCTTTTTAATTTGAACGGATATTGAATTGTCATTTTTACAACGTGCTTCATTCTGCACCTGTTGCCTTCGAAAGACCACTAGAATTCATCCCAAACCACTCAAGATGTAAAAAAAAGTTCTTTGAATGAGGATTTTTACACTAATTTACCACAATGTTTTCCAAAAAAAAATCAATTTGTAAGTTTATTCATGCAAGAAGTTTAAAATTATTTTATTAGGAAAGAAAGGAAATAACTCAGGAATATATATGTTTTGAGTTAATCGAACTAAGTTTTAGTTGTTTTTTTTYTCGTTGCTTGAAAGTAAACAATGTAAAGCGTACTGTTTTATCATATGGTTTTAGTTTCTAACGATTCTTCAAGAATTATCCTACCAAAGATAAATATTTTCTTTAATGAAAAATACAAAATGTGGCATACTTTCTAACTAAGAAGCAGGTTTGCTTTGACATTTATTATTCCTTAAAACTTGTAGGGTTAAATAATTGATTGATACACGACGGATTATTTATTTTGATTCTGACCAATCGTCTAGTTTGGCCGCGGATTTTAGCCTTTTTGAAAAATTGTTTTATCTCTATATTTATCGAAATTAACTGTCGACTTTTGGGTTGCCGAAGCAATATCAATCCAATGATTAACTTTTTCAATTAATTGGGATGTATAGGCTAACAATTCATCCTTTTGTATCTCACTTAGATCTATTGAGTGAATAAATAATAACAAATAGTTGTAATTTGTATGATGATAACAAAACTTAACATTTCAAAACAATTGGAGAAAAAAACAGTCCAAAAGCTGTGTGTTGTTATTGCAAAAAGCATTTCTTATCTCTCTCAGTGTGTTTATAGCGATTTGAATTCGTCAACTATTTGTGCTGGTGCATGTGTTGAGCAAAATAGCTTGAATTTCAAATAACTATTTATGTGTAAAACAAAAGACTCTAATATATACCCGAGCACACACAGAAACGCCAAACAACCTTACTCGRATACCAGCAGAGTTCGATCAAATGCGCACAACTCAGTGATTTTTTTCCAATTTATCTTACGTTCGTAACCTAACAACCTTAAAATCAAATCATTTATATGACTCTTAAAAACTAAACTTAAAAACATTATCAGCACTATATATGAGCAAATTTAGGGTCGAAGCACAAACGGGCGTCACCCGGTAAGTCAATTGAAACAAGCTACGCTTCAAAGAATATATTATAAATACCAAAAACTACCGCATAACAAAATTACAAAGATTAAGTCAAATTTTCTTATATCATTTCACAGTAAAATTGAAGACTATTATTTGAAATTGTGTACGAAGTAATGCATATTTTTTTCCTTTCTATTGTTTGACTTATGTAAAATGAATTCAACTTCACGAGAAGAAAGAGAGAGATCAGCCATGAAAACCATTTTAGCGTAAAAAAGCCATATTCTGTAGTCAACAATTGTTCTGTAAAAATATATATACACATTGGTGTCATGAAGTACTAAACCATTGTAGTGCTAGTGGTATYAATTTTAAAACGTACATACTGTTGGCTTTCGAGGCACACGTGGCTATAAATTCTGCTATAAACGCGCGCTTTTTTACAAACACTCATGTATATTTTTATATACAATAAATCTGAAAAATTAATTCTCCAAAACTTTTCTTACTTTTTTWAAGACCTCGTATAGATACCTTTTTATTGTTTCAAAATCTCTCAAAGAATTCTTCAGTTATATCATTTGACCACAAAAAAACATTAGCGTATTGTAACTAAATACCAACGTTCCGAAATTTAAGCAAAACACTAATTTATACTAGTTACAAAACTCTTTACACTTTGTACCTCTACGGTGAAGATGCCCTCGTCTTTTTGTATCTCATTGGTTGAAGCGCTCTCTTCTTTTTTTACAACTTCGCCATCATCTTTTCTACCCCATGGGTATTTATACGATCGTACTGAAGTTCGCGGGGTTGTCGTTTCTCCCGCGTTTGATTTCTCAGTGTTGTTTTTCTGCCAAATTGTTAACGGGTGCCTCCAAGTTGAACTCTCTTCTCTATTCTTCACTGGTCGACATGTTTCTTGATAAACTTCATTTGAGAATGAAATTGCTTTGAAATCTCGTCTTTCTGTGGTACTATTTCTACTTTTGAGAAATTTGCGGGCTTTAGATACGAAGGATAGCGAACTTAAATCAAAATTCGGAGCCTTCATTTTAACGTTAAAAACTTGAGGCTCTTGAACACGGCTCCAAATACATCAGTAGAGCAGGTCACTATCGGGTATTTAGTATATTCCTCGTGCTCTCATTTTTTYCTGACGATTATTCTTGAATGGTAGTTATGAATGACGACCCTTTAGGCCATCTGTCTTAGCACCATCAAATCTTTCATTCACCTTTGTGCCCGCTTACAAACATAATCAATCCACAAAGAAAATGCAAATGTAAACTCGTAAGACTAGCCGCTGAACTAATCAGCTATTCAGTGCAAAGAACSGTAGAAAACCCTCCAATTCCATATATGGATTATAACACGCACACACACACACACAAACGATCAGAGGGAAATCATTTCCATTCGACAAAGAAATATAGCATTAAAAGTTATCTTAACAGTAAGAAAATTAGAGAGTTTTTTGGCGGTATGAAAATGGCAACTTTTTGGTAACAAATTGTTAGTGACACACGCGTTGGACACGTGCGCTTGTCTGTTTTACAGTGAGACTATTCTTAGACACTTCATACACGTGTGTTGAGCAAATCAAACTCCACACGTGTGCGGATCGTAATCCTATAGCACAGACCAATTGTGTACTTATAATAAACTAAGTAAATAGAAATAAAAAACAGTGGAGAAAAAAAAGAAAAGTCAATACAATAAACCGGTACAAATAGTAGTATTGTTGGTTGGGGATCAGAGATCGTATGTGAGGCTTGATCTTAGGAAAGAATGAAAAGACAAGGAAATCTAGAGGGATTCAAAACGGGTACCAGTCGAACACATTGACTATTGATTCCTGACTGAAGTCTGAATCGAAGCACTTAAAATACTTTAACATTTTCGCCAAAGAACAAAGAGCCYGGCAGCAATTTTTTAGCCAATCAAAGCATAAACTATTAGCTCGTTAAGCTTTGATTTGATATAGGCAATTCATTAAAGAATTTGAATAGTTATTGAATAGTATTATTGATAATCTCGACCTTAGTGGCCAGTCATTTGTTTTGTTTTTAATGCTGRCTGTTATGAATAGCTCTGTCTCTATGTTTTTATGCTGCGTTCATGATGTRTGGCAGAGGGGTGGGGGGGCAGGTTAAATCTTTAAAAGGCCAAAAGAGTTCTTAAGACCCCCCCTTGAAATCCCCCCAAAAATAACTATCCCCCGGGCAATCTCTCGTAGCTTCTTCTGAAAATTTTGCATCCCCCCCATTCTCTGAAAAAAAAWTYAAACCCCCCCCCCCCCTCCCCTTCATTTTACTGGTAAAAAATTTTCCGATCCCCCCTAAATTTATATGTTCTAAATAATTCGAAGTCTTCGTGTTTCGCATAGTGTTCCAAATCCCGTCGAGGGYCAACCCCTGTCTTAAGCGACCAACAGTGTACTAAAAAACCTCGCGTAACGACCAGACTGGTTGCATATCTGTAGAACCCGAGAGCGTGGGCGAAATCATTTGCGAACGAAAAATTAACCCCACGAAAATAAGGAAAAACGATTAATCTAAAACATTAGAGGCATCATTTATTTTGCTGTTGATGACAAAAATGGAAAGAAATTATTTTTTAATAGCTATATATATATTTATTACAGTCACTGTAATATAGTTTTTCAATAYGCTAATGACGTAATATCCGTCAATTACCCACAATGCGTAGCTTGTAAACCACGTGACTGGAAGGGACCGCGAAAAGTTGAGCAAGTTGAAATTTCTTGGAGAGAAGGGAATTTAGACGGATTTTTCATGTTTTCTTCACGTTTTTCGTCCTTTTAGCTCCCCTACACGACTCCAGAGCCGTTATTTATTATCAATAAGTATTAAAGTTAGGAAATATAAAGAAAATATCGATGGAAATGAGCGAAGAACGAAGCAAGAAAATCCTTGAAGGCTTCAGGTTGTATCCTTTAGATGAAGTGAAATTTTTCAGTACACATGAAAAATAACGTTATATTTTTTAACTTAACGTCTATTAATCCTCAATGCATATTGGTACAGGTTATTTAATGTTAAATATTAGCGTTTAATGCATTTAAAAGGCTGTGGCAAAGCTAGGAGTGACCTTGAAGTGAGCTACTTTGTCGCRAAATTTCGAGTTCAGTATTGTTTACTTTGGAAGCGGTAAAAACACAACCCTACAATGTTTTTTATTTGATCGAAAAAATTAGTTAAGATCTACTTTGATCTTGATAGAATTCCTCAAAGAATCCAATGAACTCACTGCTTAAATCTAAACCTATCAGACAACTTCTTTAGACAAAATTATATAAATTACAATTTTAAATGGTTGTCATCGTAGTTGTGTCACAGTGACTTCAAACGCTCTTTGTACAGATTTTGTACAATATAGATATATTTTTAAAAGTTTAAGTTTAGTACTCGTTTTCTACAATATAATCTAGTATACAATTTTTATATTTTACTCAGCTTCGATTATTGTTTTGACTGATTTTACTAACAACCAAGTCCACTGTCAAACTGCCCAATGAATATAGAATAGGCGTCATTTTATTACCATGGYTATTAATAATGTCGCTTTGGTTCAGTGAGATTATTAATTTTCTTGTTATAAATAGATATTTTGGTTCATGAGATTTTTTCATTCGCTCAGAACATCATGTGTTTTGACACCTTAAGATTCTATCTCTTAGATTCTATTTGAGATAATATCCATGCTACTCATTTCAAATGAAATAAATTTCATTTTTAATGCATTATTTAAGATGGAGAACGACTTCTTGTGAGCTCATTTCAGCATTACAAAATGTCGACAATGTGCAAACAAGTACCAAGAGAATAACTCTTTAGCCCAAATTTGAACTATCCAAGTGTGTGTAGCACTTGAGTTGATTATGTAATCATCTTTTTGGTTGCCTATACCGGTGTAATATTATATAAATTTTGGAGTCAGTTTTATTACAGTATTTAAAATCTCGATTTATAAAAACTTTCCAGATTTATGATAGAAATAACTTCTTTAACTACACAAATCGTCCTTATGCAATTTGTTCCTAATTACTACACGGCCAGTTTATTATACTGAAATAAGCATTCATATCTTTGTTTGGAAACAGCCAGTTAAATATACTGAAATAAGTGTTAATACCTTTGATTGATAGAATACAAAATGTGGTACTTGAATATCTTTGACTGGAAACAGCCAGTTAAATATACTGAAATAAGTGTTTAATACCTTTGGTTGACAGAATACAAAATGTGGTACAGGAATATCTTTGTTTGGAAACAGCCAGTTAAATATACTTAAATAACTGTTCATACCTTTGGTTGACAGATAACAAAATGTGGTACAGGAACAACAGTTTATTACTGAAACGAAAACTAATTTCTTTCACTATTGTTTACATACAAATTTTGTATAACATTTTGTGATAACACCCAACTGCCAAAATGCATGAAGATTTCATTATACTATGAATACTTCACCTTCAAGTTTTCTGTTTCTCAAACTTAACCTTCATTTTTTACATAACATTTGTGTGTTCCAATGAAGATCCATGACATTTCAGTGTTTGTATTGTTCAAGTTGTGCATTCTTTACTTTACTGTTGGTATTTGTGAATATTCTTACACTGATACGAGGCTAACCCTGAGTAAATGAGTCTCTAATTAAGGGACACAGCAGTAATTTGGAACTCGAAAAAGGTCTATTCCTAGAAGTCAAAGTGTCTAAGACCAATAGTTTATTTTCCTTAACCCTACAATAGAAATTGGATGAATTTAAGAGATGCCGACAATGGGAAAATACTATGGCAAGGAAGTGAAGATTTGTAAGTATAAGAAACATTCATTTCTGTGCTTATTTATTTGTGTTATAGTTTTTATGATGATAGTAAAGTTAGGAAGTATTCATTTTTTTGAGAAGCGGGGAGGGGAGTAGCCTGCATCACATCCAGAATTTTCTTTGTAAATACCGTCTGTGAAACATYGCTTGAAAGCTTGTTCTGGACCCCCCGCAAATTGCGCGATTATATATAATAGATTCTGATTGGCTGTTAGCCATGCTCATTCTATTGTGAACTCCCATTGGATAACRCTATCAAACAAGATGTGGACAAGCAAAGCGTCCTAGTTTTCAAAATGGCGTATCCTATTGATGAGGATCTTTGGACTAGAGCATTTTTAGAAGTTTTTAGAAGTTTTTGCTAGTAATAGATGTTAACATGTGCCTGAATTGTTAGCCCCCAGCTTAGCTTTGAGTCTTAAAATGGCTTCAATACCTTGCATACCTAATGATGATAACGTTAACATTGAAGGCCCAGGGTAAGATTTGAAGGCTTAGGGTAAGATTAGCTATTCGCTAAACCTGGTGTATTTTATGAATACTTTTTAACCTTCTTAAATAAAGTTATTATTAATTTATTTCTTATTTTTTGTTTTGGTAGATCTGTGCCAGGTGTAGAACATGAAGGTAATGAATTTTACAACAATAATTCTTCATTCTGTGTTATTAATTAATAATAACATTAACAACAATATGATCAGCTACAAAGGACTTGGCTAAGAATATTCCTTATTAAGTCCATCACAGCAGTGTCACATTGTTTTGAAACAAAACCCATAACAATAGCAACGTAAGGAAATAAAAATATCAACACTGCATCAAAAATACCCTTTATGGAGTATATTAAAACAGTGCAATGCTTTTATACAGAAGGCCTTTTAATAGCAGCATGATGTGACAAAAAGATACTAAAAATACTTTTTGCTGTTGATCATAAGTTCCTTGCATCTGGTTTTCCTTCAATATTCTTATTCTTCACCTATACTTTTCATCGTTTAGTTGATAATGAATAGTTTTGAGTTTGCTAAGATCAATGAACAAAATATTTATTTATATACAATTTGCATCAAAGTGTCTAATCAAAATTATTTTTAATTAATTAATTTTTAATTTGTTAGAGCAGACTGATTATTCTGGCAGCTTTTGGTGATGTGACACATGACCCTCAACTTTTATTAACAATTGATTTGTAATTTTATACCAACAGCTAGGGTTCCTAAAAAGATATTAAAATGTAAAGCTGTTTCTAGAGAGATAAACTTCTCGTCACAAGAAGAAATGAATAAGTTCAGACTTGAACAGAAGGTCTTGTTTAAGGGAAAATGCTTAGAAGGTGCGTAGAAAACAACTGAGTAGATAGAGCGTGAGCTGCGTCGGTGTTTCTAATGAAACAGTAGTGATAAAAAAGTAAATTATACACCATGAAAAGATGAAAAAACTGAAGTTTCGGATGCTAGTCCTTTGTTGGAGTAAAAGAGCAATGAATAGATAGACGCAATGTTTATAAACATTCATAACTCTTTTCTTTGTGTATTCAGAGTGGTATTTTGATTTTGGATTTGTGATTCCATCATCTACCAACACTTGGCAATCCCTGATAGAAGCGGCACCTGAATCACAGATGATGCCTGCAAATGTCTTAAAGTAAGTTCCACCTTTCAGCTTAGTGCAGGTTTCGTATGACTGTGAAAAATTCACGGCACAAACACGGCCATGACACGGCAATGGATATGCCAGACCAATCACATTGCATGAGAATTTACTCTCCATCCAATCAAATACACTCGGAACACGGCATAAACATGGCATGGACACGGTCAYGCCAAGTTCACRGCAATGCCAGACCAATCACATTGCGTGTGAAAAAAATCAGCCAATTAAAATTCTAGAAAGCATCACGGTCATGGCACCTCACGCTTATGGCACTGAGCTTTTCACAGTCATACAAAAACTGCACTGTGTCAGAACATTGGTTATCTAATGATATAATAATAAGCRTTATTTATCAACCTTAAATAAAATATACCTTAGATTTACTTGGTTGAAATTATTGATATATACAATATTTATATCTAAAAAAGATGAACTTATGAGCCTGGTGGCCCTAGGTATGAATGAGTTCATATGTCTATTTGTCCTTGATGTTGGAATCCTAATTGCAGACTGAACATTAGATCTGAGGTTATGTGTTTTATTTACATTTGTATTTATAAATATCTGATTTGGGTGATTATCGGTATTTATTGTGCAATGTATAGTTTATCTTTTGACATGGTATAATTTTTCATCCATTTCACTTTGAAGTTAAGTCAGAAAATTAATTCTTGTTATTAAAGTAAACTCATTATTTTTTGTCTTTTTATTTTAGTGGAAATGTTGTGATAGAAACAAAGTTTTACGACGCTAACCTTCTTGTCAGTACATCAAAAGTACGGGTCTTCTATGTATAAAGGCATTCTGTCTGTCTGTCTGTCTGACTAAGAGTCTGTCCATGTCCTTCCTCTCAATGTAGATTCACTAGAATATTAATATACAACAGCCTTTAGTATCATTACCCAGGTGATTATAGAAAATCTGGCTCACTGATTGGTTGTATATTAATATACAACAGCCTTTAGTATCATTACCYGGGTGATTATAGAAAATCTTGCTCCCTGATCAGTTGAATATTGATATACAACAGCCTTTAGTGTCAATTAGTATTTTTACGCAAGTGAATATAATAAATATAGCATGCTCATCTTGTCACAATTGATTTCTTATGCTGCTATATTCACCTAYACGGGAATRTAACATGCACCTGCTTGCTCGTTTGTTGATTTGTAGCACTTGCAGAGATATAAACAAAAAACTCTCTCTCTCTCCATTATTTATTATATTCACTTGTGTTAAAGGTACTAAACAAATATTCACCTTACTGAATATCGGGGAATATTTACCTCGCCATTTTTATTCCCCAATATTTACTGAGCCTAAGGCAAATAATCATTAAATCTTTACCTCACTGCTAAAAGACTTATGACTTATTAAATATTCACTGATGATCACTTCACCCCAGCAAATGATTGTTAAATAGAACACCTCATTAATATTCGTTATTATTATATGGCCGTGAATCTTAGAGCCTGGACACTAGCAAATTGAGCAATCTGATTGGATAGATTGCATCGCGGACTGGTCTAGATTCTCTAGTATTAACCAGTCCGATGGCATATTAATCTTACRGCGAAAACATTTTGTCCTTTTCAATGAAAAGTGGTCATATAATAAAACTCTTATCAACCGAGCTTGGTCGGTCTGTACGGGATAATCTTGACCTCGGTCGGGTACAGACCTCGGTCAAGATTATCCCGTACAGACCTCCCGCTCAGTTAATAAGATCTAAATATTAATTAGTGTTTATGTAGTGCTTTTTTATGTTTTGGCAACCCAAACAACTTCAGAGCAGTTGATGGCTTTCATTAATTAATTCTGTTAAGATTCTTTGTTGAAGGCCAAAATTCACATTTGAAATTTGTGCATGTTGCAAAAACACAAAGACATCCTATGTCAATATAAAAAAATTTCATTCCTTTTGGGTATTATGTTGTAAAATTAATGTGAATCTTTAATAACAAAAATGCCAATTTTTATTAAATTTAAACCTACTAATGA